CCCCGACTACTTCGACGCGCTGCACCGCAGCGCCTCCCCGCGGGACGAGGGCGGCGGGATCGCGGCGGGCCGGGAGCCCTGGGACGACGAGTCGGTCCGCAGTAATGCCGGCAGCGACGACGAGGCGATGGCGTTGGATGTGCACGGGACCGGGTGCATCGAGGAGGCCTTCGGGATCGCGGAGCGGGTGGTGGCCGTCTTCGGGGAGCAGCTCCTGCGCGGCGTCCGCGACATGCACGAGCGGCACTACATCCACCGCGACATCAAACCCGGCAACGTCCTCGTGAACGAGCACGGCGTCGTGAAGCTGAGCGATTTCGGCCTCTCCCAGCGCTGCGATCCGAGCGGGATGGGGATCGTCAACCGCTACTACGGCAGCCGGCCCCGCCATCCCGGGCATCGCCGCCGCGGGGAACGGCCCCCTCCCCCTCCTCCTCCCCCCGTTCTCACCGCGGCAGGGGGGGGAGGGCGGCCTTCTTCGCGCCCCCGCCGACTCGCCCAGCCTTCGAGCCTGCTCAGCATCGACTCCGACCTCAGCCTCGGCCTCGCCGGCGGCGAGGCCGACGACGGGATGGACGTGTTGGACGCGTCCTCCACGGCGTCGTCGGCGTCGGCGTCGGCGTCGTCGTCGTCGTTCGCCTCGTCGGGGGGGAAGGGGGACCCCGACAGCCCCAGCGACAGGGCGGAGGGCGCGAGGACGGAGGAGGAGGGGGACATCCTCTGCTCCGGGACGATCCTTTATATGAGCCCCGAGCGGCAGCGGGGGGAGCCGCACGGGAAGCCGAGCGATATCTGGGCGGTCGGCATCACCCTGGCGGAGTTCGCCGCGGGGGAGTACCCGTACGACTTGGAGGGCTGCGCGGATGATTTCGACCGAATGCAGCGCATGGGGCGCCCGATCGACCTCTCCCGGTTTAATCTTCGGCGATACGTCCCGCTGAGCTCGGTCTTTCAGGATTTTATTGGCCTGGCGACGCTGCCGGTCGCATCGCAGCGGCCGACCGCGGGGGAGCTCTTGGAGCACCCGTTCTTCCGCCAGTGGAGCCGACCGTTCTACCTCAAGGAGTACCTCCATAGCCGGGTTCCTATGCCGTCGAATAAGTTTAAGGAGGAGTACTTGGCCGCCAAGCGAGCCGCCGAGGCCGCGAAGGCGAACACCCTCCATTACGACGTGGCGGCCACCCTATCAAATTTTGAGCCATGCGAAGGGTCAATGGAGAGGGAAAGAGGAGAACTATAGAATCGACGTCGATGGTTATGCATCGATTTATCTATCTATCTATATGTATATATGTATATATGTATAGATAGATATGGGTGGCGCGGAAGGTCAGACCTTTAGGCATCCAAATTCTTTCCCTTTCCTTTTCCTCTGCTTTGCTTCCTGTTTAGTTTGTAGGTTTAGACTCCACAATGTGTTTTAGATGGAGTAAAGATGTTTTTGTTTTCCACTTTAAGTGTGTGTTTTGATTCAAGGATCCTTTTTTTTTTCGTTGTTGATTTTTACTTTCAAAGTGCTAGTAGAAGTTATATAATAGTATATGTTTGCACAATCGAATACATTTACTAATACAGTAGGTAAAAAAAGAAATGGAATTTTCTTAGGTGTTATCCAGGTGTGGTAGTTTCTTGAATTAAACTCGTGTGTTTTGATCCTTCCTACCTCGTTCTATCAGGGATTTGTTTGTGTTTTCTAAAATAATTTACAACCCAAAAAGAATCACCTAAGTGGAATAATACTACTAATAATATGAGTAACCAAGTTGAGATGGCTCTCATAACATATTTCACTATCTTCCCTCTCGTCGCTGTCGCAATATACTCGGGATTCACATCCTTCACAGCCGTTTCTTTTATGTGAAAGTAGTTTGTGCAAAGTCGTTATTTCATTGACGCCATAACCATGCTACATTTTTCATCCCTTTTCTCTTTGTTTGTTTATCCGCTCCCTTGAGGAAGGGTTTCCCGTTTTTGGAACTACTGAAGAATATGCGAATGCATTGCATTTCATTGTTTAGAATCCTTAGGTCCACCGATATGGCTTGCATCATGTAGAGTATATTGTCAGATTTTTAATCTTTTTATCAGGATTTTTTTTGTCTTTCAACATGGTTCATTGCTTTTGCTTCTAATAACCTTCTCGTTGATTTGCAATATATTTCCGACACATACTCTTATTGTTAATATTAAAAATATTTATTTATCTCTATAATATATATCAGTCATTATATTTAAAATTGCATCGTTTTCAATGGAAATGTCGTGAATGCATTATTTTACTTAACACACGTCTGGAAGCGATGATTAAGTTTGACAAAAACAAAAACACAAATCATGGGAAAGCGGGTCTTGTAACCAGTAAAATAAATAAATCATAACTTTTCCTTTGTGAACAAACGAAGAGAAAGTGGTGGTTTAGCGACTTCTTTTATTCCACGCTTTGGTTGCACATAAACATACATATGCATAGAAGTGTATGCTTACTTAGATACATTAATGGGCAAAGGATTTACTAGCTCATCGACTAATTTCTTCTACTTAAATCTTTCTATTTATTTGTTTAAGTAATCCTGTTATACGAGCCCTTATAATGATAAAATCCTTCTCAAAAAACCTTTGAAAGGAAAATTTGATGCGTGCAATCTACGGTTAAGGTTTTCACCCGGCACCGCATTTCTTATTCTTCCTTTTACAGGGTTTTTGTTTGTGATTTTTTTTGATAGAGCTTGGTGTTGGTGGTAGATAACAACCAAACGTGATATTCTACAAATCCAGGATAAGGAAAGAGAAAATCGCAATCAACCTCAAAAAAAAGGATTCATCATAAACAAGCGGCAGACCGCGATATAGGATGCTCCGAGCATGTCGAATTGTGCGAAATCACTATAAAATGGACCTTAAAGGCGATACGGTGCCCCATGATACATGCGGGCCGGGAGTTTTATGTCGGTTCTGGCGCAAGTTCAAAGCGAAGACCCCTTTAGGTCGGCTGCTCTTTTTATCTGCCTATGGGATGGCTACTGGCCTTAGCTATATCTCGCTTTGTGTTGCCATCCACACGCTGCACCAGCCCACGATCTACAGCCTCTACTACCCCTCGGAGGACTACCTACTGGAGGAGTGGCGGGAGGTGGAGCCGAGTTTGAAGCCCGGGGACATCCTCCTCATGCGCGGCGCGTCGCCCTTGAGTTGGCTGATCGTGACCGGGCAGTTCGTCCACGCCGTGCTGCGTCCCGCCGCGCTGCGATATTCCCACGTCGCGGTAGTTATCGAACCCGCCATTTTAGATAACGGAGGGGAAGCCGTCGCCAATTCGGCGGCCGGACGCGGCGTCTCGAAGTTTCCCGTAGGGAGCGCCGTGGAGGATTTTCTCAAGAATGAGCAGGAGGCGAAGCGGCGGAAGGTCCGTATCAAGCGTGGAGTCATCATCCTCGAGGGGATGGATAACACCGATTGCCACGTGCCGGATGTGAATGGAAAAGTCCACTACAACGCCGTCCAACAGGTCGAGGCGACGAAGCGGTTGTGCTCCGTCACCGAGGACGGCAACCCGTCCTATCACTACTTTGCCGTACGCCGGCTTAAACGCGAGCACGAACCCGTCGACGAGGATGAAGAGGGCGGCGAGCAAGAGGATTACCCCCGTACACCGGCGATGCTGCGCGTGATTCGCGACTTTGCGGAGCGGAACGAGGGCCGTCCCCTGATCTGCTCCCTTGTGTACCCCCTGGCCTTTGTCTCGCCCCGGCTTTACCTGGCGATCCGCCGGCAGGACGCCCTGCACGAGGTCTCCTGCGCCCAGCTCATCGTCGACCTCTACCAGGAGCTCGGGCTGAT